GACGGTCGGGTATGGCAGCACAACTGCTAGGGTCCACAAGCGCCTGCAGAGAGTGGTGAAGACTGCGGAGAAGATCACCAGGCCAACACTATCCAGAGAACAAGCTGACAGATTAGATGCTCCTCTCACCATTGATGAATTCCATAAAACACTTATTTCAATGCCAAATAACAAATCGTGTGGACCTGATGGACTACCAGCTGAATTTTATAAACATTTTTGGCAAATACTATCACCACTATTTCTCAGAGTCACCACAGAAATAAAAGACACCTCCACAATACCAACGCACATGAATACAGCCATTTACAGGATCCCTATAATTCTCTACAGGAAACGTTACATATTATTAACACATTTTCTAAGATCTCAAACTACACAATAAACTGGAATAAATCCACCATACTACCACTCTCTGAGGATGCCTGGGATTCTGCAGCTCAAGACTCCTCCCCCCAATTCTGTACAGGCAACATTAAATATCTTGGTATTAATATCTCTCCCAGGCTGTCAGAACTTTTTAATCTCAACTACACCCCCCTGCTAAAAAAGATAGAAGATGATTTTAAACGTTGGTCCAATCGTCCTCTCTCTCATCGGCTGAATAGCTACTGTCAAAATGAAAACTCTACCTCAAATCAACTATCTGTTTACAATGCTTCCCACAACACCCACAGATAAATAGTTTAAATCACTTGATTTTCTAAGTTCACAATTTTACTGGAATAACAAGAAACACAAAATTTCCCTGCCAACACTTCAGAAGAAGAAATCACAAGGTGGCCTAGAAGCACCACATTTTGAGCATTATTTCTTAGCAAATCAACAACAATATTTAGTTAAATGGATTCAGAAGGACCGTTATAATAGCTCATGGATAGAACTAGAACAAAATCAAGGCAAAAATACTTCAGTTGCAGACCTAGCCTTCTTACCATACTCAATTAAGAAAATGAACTACAGGAAAAATATCACAATCTCTGCAACTCAGACAGTATGGTGGAAGCAAACAAAATCACTAAATCATCATTAACACCATGCAGATACACTCCAATCTAGTGTTACCCGTGCCAGCCCTAGGGGAAACTGAGCAGTATTAATGTGGAGGTCGAATGTGGAACAAATTAAAGATGAATTCACCACTTATGAACAACCTACTAATTCTGACTCCCTGGTCTCTCTTGCCACCTAGGCCAATACCCTGTAATTAGAGGTTGCTTGCTCAGGTAATACACTGCACTCAACCTGTCACTTTAATCTTGTCCAGTAATCACCATGCAAAAATACAGTTTAAAGTCATAACTACACCTAACGCTCAGGAAGGCGGTAATGGCCTGAGGTTAATGGCACAGTAATATGGGCAAGGGGGAGGGAGAGAAAGGGCCAAGTGCTACTTGGCCCTGCCAGTCAGTTCATTCCCTCTGGATAGCAGTGACAGAGAACCTCTCCACCAACTTGGGCTATAGAATACCTCCTTGAACAAAACACCTGGGGCTGAGGGCACGCACATTCCCACCAACCTCTAAAAATGTAACAAGCTGATTTTATTAGTACTGTTATCATCATTATTATTGGTAATTTTTAAATTTATTTTTCCTCCTTTTCCTTTTCTTGCATTTCATAGACTGAATACGTTGGAAATACCCACACTTCACACACTACAACCTTGTTAAAAACTCTATATCCTTTTGTAATGACATGTATCTGTTTGTCTTGTCTCCCATGTTTGGCACCATTTTGTTGAGGTGTTACTTTGTTTCAATAAAAAAAAAAAAAAAAAACAAGTGCAGCAGGGAAACTGCCTTTAACCTGTGTGGGTTCTTGAATGAGTAGTCAAGTCTGAGCACCGCCTGAATCCTTTCCCACAGGTGTTACAAATATACGGCTTCTCACCTGTGTGTAGTTTTATGTGGAAATCCAGGTTACCTTTATGTATGAAACCCTTCCCACATGTTTTACAAGAATACGGTTTCTCACCTGTGTGGATTTTCAGGTGACTTGTTAAGGCTCCGCTCTGTGTGAAACTTTTCCCACAAGTGTTGCAAGGAAACGGCCTTTCACCCGTGTGGATTCTTAAATGATTAGTCAATTCTGACCTCTGCTTGAATCCTTTCCCACAGATGTTGCAAAGATGTGGCTTCTCACCTGTGTGAATTTTCATGTGGGAATGCAAGTTACCTCCTTGTGTGAAACTCTTCCCACAGGTGTTACAAACATATGGCTTCTCACCTGTGTGGATTCTTAAATGTTTTGTCAGTCCTGAAATGTGCATGAATCCTTTCCCACAGGTATTACAAACATGCGGCCTTTCACCTGTGTGGATTCTCTTGTGGATAAACAAGATACTACTACGAGCAAAACTCTTCCCACATGTTTCACAAGAATATGGCCTCTCACCTGTGTGGACTCTCAGATGTACAATCAAATTGGCCTTATAGATAAATTCTTTCCCACAGATGTCACATTTGAGGGACTTGTTACCTGTGGTAGGATCAGAATCAGTCTGTGACATGGGAGAGTTGTCCACATTGCCACCTGTGTGGATTCTCATATGTGCCGACAAAGCATCACAACCAGCAAAACTCTTCCCACATGTTTCACAAGAATACGGCTTCTCACCTGTGTGGATTCTCAAATGTCGGTTCAATTTCGACTTACACTTAAAATTTTTCCCACAAGTGTCACATTTGAAGAACTTATTACCTGTAGCAGGATCAGACTCAGTCTGTGACATGGGAGAGTTGTCCACATTGCTACTGTGACTGGTTGATCCTGAGTCTACATGCTGGTTTCCTCTCTGATCCTGGCTCTCAGCTACAGGAGAGCTGTGAGAGAGGAGCTGCTGGTCACTATCTGGTTCTGGTTCACTGTGGTCACTGTCCTCATAAGTAGGAGTCAACATAAAGGGATCGGTCTCCTGCTTCAGTCCAAGCTGCTCTCCCTCCTGAATGCTACAGAGTTCCTCCTGTTCCTCTTTAATTTCTGGAGGCTCTGGGTCCTCTTGGTCCAGACTGGAGTTCCTCTCTTGGTCACAGAGCTGCTGGTCAGCCATAACCTCCTCCTCCTTACAAACATGTTGCTGAGGCAGCTCTGGAGGAACAAAGGGACACAGGGAACAGGTCACTGATGTAGTGAGAAGAAAAAAAGAGGGATGATTTTTATTCACAAAGCTCTTATTGGAAGCTTCCAGTCTGCCTTAACAGTGCTGTAAAGCCTGTAGAATGTATCATTTTCGCGTTGATGCATGAACTTAATGTAGTGATGAAAGATATTCAAATAACAGCCACTTTCTCTTTAGACTAAAGAATAAAATGTAATAAAAAAAATTAAATAAAAAAATACAAATTAGCAAATGCAGCAACTTCATATCAGTCAATAATAGAAGAAACCTCTGACAGACCCCGGCTCTTGGTGGATGGCCTTCTGCCACAAGTGGTTGGGGCAAGTGGAAGGAGAGAAAAAATAAAGAAAATCCACAATTTTCTACTTCCTGGAAAATGTAGGAATTTAGATTTGCTCTATAATTCATCTGTCATTGCGATGAAAGTTGCTATGAGAGGGTGTAGATTTACTACTTCCTGAAAAATGTAGGAATTTAGGTTTGCTCTATAATTCATCTGCCATTGTGCTGCAAGTTGCTATGAGAGGGTGTAGATGAGTGAGAGCTGCAGAGCTGACAACGTCCTTGAGACTCACTGATCTGAAATCAAATCCATGAACAAAATAAAGGCAGCTCATGAGACATGATAATTAATATTCTGCACATGTCCTGATCAATCATTTTACATTTACTATTGGCAACCGGTAAAGTCAGTTTGGTGGTCAAAGGTCAAGGTCACTGTTTTCTCTCATGTTTGTGAGAGTTCATGAATTTGGTTGGTTGGAGGAGGCATACCACCACAATGCAGTAATTCTTGGTTATATATTTTATACTGTTCTGTTGTCCTGTGTGGGTAAGTGGTCTGGACTCCTGGTTTTCATCTAGATTTCAACACCAGCTTTAGGAAACATACAGATTTTATATTTTTACCAACAAATGTTTTGCTCATTTTGAAGGAAAACAATGAATTAAAATAATTGCTAATGATTTAGCTGAATAAAACAAGCAAATAATAAAGCCATTCTTTAACCATTTCCACATATGTAGCCAGTGATGTTTTTAATTCAGAATAATTTCAGTATTTTCTGCTTGTGTTCATGCTAGCAGCATCGAAGGAGAGGAGATAGAAGGATTCTTAGACAGAGAGAGAAGAGGAAAGGCAGGAGTATAGGTCTGAGAATAGGGACTCAACGTTGGGACAACGACAGGGAAAGGTAGAGAGCTGGCGGACATGATGGGGAGGAGGAAGGCAGATATACTGTGTCAGCAGGAGA